TGTAGTACAGTAAAAAGTACAATATGTAACTCTGAGGTGTAGTACAGTAAAGAGTACAATATGTAACTCTGAGATGTAGTACAGTAAAAAGTACAATATGTACCTCTGAGATGTAGTGGAGTACATGTAGAAAGTAGCAGAAAATGGAATTTGTACTAACGTAAAGAACTTGAGTAAATGTACTGTTTGTGTCTGTGTGTGTGTGTGAATGTGCTTTTGTGTGCGTGTGTGTGTGTGTGTGTGTGTGTGTGGTTCGACACTGTAGCGCCTAACAACAGCTGTGTTCTGGTCAGATGGGGATTAGAGATCGGAAACTTATACCATGGTATTAATCCACTTTACATAAACACATTTAATAACAAATGTAAATAATTACTTCGTCCTTTTATGCTCAAGTTGTTTGGATAAACTACAGCTGGTTTCTTCCACTGTTGGTTTCATAATTTCTCTCTGTGGAGGAGAAGATGCAGCTTTACAGCAGCACAGCATGTTTCCATAGTCTGTCATGTTATCAGGATGTCAGTGTGATGATGATGATGATGATGATGATGATGATGATTCCTAACCGGAGCTTGGATGTCGACCCTGCAGGAAGTGATGGTGACGGGGATCGACCACCTCGGTTCCAGCGGGGCAGAGCGCCTCTGGCTCCCACCGACACTCCCAAACTGTGAGAGCAGTCCATCATCTGCAGTGAAGCAGTACCAATGTGTCACGTGACACGTGACGCCGTCTCCTCCTCGCTCTTCGTCCCTGTTCTCACCTCACTTCACATCATCAGTCCCGAGCATGAAGAAGGACTTTTAGTCTGATGTCAAATTATTTTCTCGTCGAGATGTAAAGTCTCTCAGAACACCGTGAAGCTCTGAAGTCTGCCTTAAAATCACAACGACAGCGGGACCCAACACTTTTATTCAATTAAATGTGAAACATCTAGATATTTTTAGTGATCATGGCATTTATAAAATATCTATAATTGAACTCAATAAAAAGCTTTGTATTGTGTTTCTGTAGCTGCTATCAGAGACAAACATCTCTCCGATCAAAGATGGACACTCGCAGATAATCTGCTTAATAAATTAAATAAAGTCTGAATTAAATCCCACTGAGGACATGAGACGACCTGGCATATTATTTTATGTAATAAAAATGGATTCAGTGATGTTAAAACAGAGGAATTTTCGTTTTCATCTCATTTGATGTTAAAACAAATATTGTTTGATTTTGTTTTCCACATATAAGAGTATTGATTTAACTCAGTAAAGTACGACACATTTTAGGGATCTGACTGATAGAACCACGGAAAATATTTAGTTTTGCAAACTTCTCGAGATATTTCCAGACACGTGAACAGTTTTGATTTTCTCTTTCACTTTCATATTTATTTTATTTATCTGAATGCACCGTGACTCGATGCCATCTGGAGCTCAACCTCTGACTTCATCTTTGTCGATATAGTCGATGCCTGTAGACCTTGTTTTTTAAAAATGTTTGTAACTAATTGAGTATTTCATACACATGTAAACTGTGAATTGCATTATTTGTCCTGTTATTGACTTGCAAAATACAGAGAAGGGACTAAAGTGAAGAGGTTTTTAAGAAGTATTTTCATGGGGCCAAGATTTCTCCATAAAGCTCTTTGTGTGCAGTGAACATGTGGTTTGTTTTCTGTGACTCTTCAGACCTCTCAGAGTTTATAGAACCAAGATGTATCTCCTCTTCACCTCATATTTGATCGCAGAATAATCTGCAAAATATTGTTCCAGTGATTGTTATTAAATTAGATAGAAACTTTCATTCTGTGTGGTTCTGTTGGTCTCTGTGGACTCAAGTGGTCGTGTTTCTGAGCACCAGACTCTCTTTAGAAAACTCACTTTACTGCAGCAGGTCTGACAGTCTGCTCCTCTCAGTCCTGGTTCTGCTTCTCCCGTGCCTCCCTTCCCTCCAGCGGGTCTAGCAACACGTCCTGGTCTCCAGCAGCGTGGTGTCGGTGTTGACTCCCAGAGAGGAGAAGCTCTGCTCCTGGAGGAGGAGGAGGAGGAGGAGGAGGAGGAGGAGGAGGAGACGCTGCTGCCGGGAGCTGAGCTCTCCTCCTCCCTCCGGAGCTCCGGATCTGGGTCTGTCCACGGTGGACCGGTCTCTGCTGGAGGATCTGG